TGAACCCAGAATATTTCAAATACCAAAGCCAAAGAAGGAATACAACAACAACGACAATGAAAGTGTGGGCCAATTTCATCTCTGACTATAAAAGCCACGTGTTTAAATAATATATTAGAGACTATAATAGAGGAATGAACCAAAAGACTAAACCACTATGACAAAACAGCCTTCAGTAGAGGAGAGAAAAGATAGTTCAATTCCAGGAAGTCTATCTACATATTGATTACATTAAAAGTTAAAGGGGAAAAACCCAACCATTATCAATATATGGTGAAAAGACATTAGATAAAGGTCAAGCAACCAATGCCAAGGGAAACTTGAAGCAAAACTGGAACAGATAGAAATTATTATGTAATAAAGAAAAGCCCAATAACAAATCTTAAATGGCAAAAATTAAATATTTCACTTAAAATCAGGAATGAGACAGGCATCACTATAATCACTTCTATTGGTGATTCTAGCAAATGTAAATAAAATAACAGGTATAAATAACAGAAAAGTTCCAGATGCTGATGATATGCCTGTTTTCTTAGAAAACCCAAGATATTTTCATGAAAAAACAATAAGAGAACTTGCTGTGTTGGATTAATAAAAAATAACTTACAGAAATAACCCATCTCTCTCTATTCAAGCAAAATCTCATAGAAAAGGAAATGGGAAGAATATTTCATTTGGAAGACAAATGCCAAAAAAATAATTTGGTAAGAAAAGTGCAGAACATATATGAAAAAATTATAAAAATAGTCTTGGGAAATACAAGATAAAATAGAAACAAATGAAGAAGTCTATCATGTTGGGTGGAATGACTTACTATTATCAACATGTTAATTCTCCAAAAGTTAATACATAAATTTAATGCTGTTCTAATTAGTCTCCTTTTTCTCTTATGTAAAATATCATGTAATAATTGAAAAGAGCCTTAAGTTCCAAGTATCCACATACAATAGTAATTGTGAATGAGTATAATCTTTAACTTGAGGATTTCTGAAGACTTTTCGGAATGATCAAAAGCATACTGAAAAAGGCAGTAACAATTTAATAAATACATCTCTGTATAATAAATGTGAATACTAGTCTCCCATTTCCTTTTCAACAAGTGATGGGGTTAAAGGGTTAAGTCTAGGAGACTGGATGTTTGTGAGCCCCACACTGCTCTCATCCTGAGTGGTGTGGTCAAACTGGTCAAATGGTTGTGCATCAGAATCACTTGCAGTGCTTAGTAAGAATATAGATTCCAAGGTCTCACCCAAGAGTTCCTGGAATCAGAACCTGTAGCAAGAATTTAGAAATCACTGGCCAACTCTATGCTGCAATGATCACTTCTTGTTTCAGGATTTCTTTTCTGAGCACAGAAACCTAGAAAAGGATGCCCAATGTTTCCATTGGGAGGACTCTCATTTAAATCCTCTTTGAGAAATGACTCATTTCCTTTTAGGCGTGAGAGTTGAAAATAGATTTTAAAAAAACAGATACAAAATAGATTTTCTACTGTAGTGAAAAATGCCATGTACAGCTTGCTTTCTGTGTAGCAGGAGGCAGTAAAGGTATGTGGAAAGTAATGTCATGTGTTGGTTTGGGTTTGAAACCCAGCTTGGCCACTTTCTGGCTGTGTTACCTTTGACATATTAATTGTTGTAATTCTCAGTTTCTTCACCTATAAAATGAGGATGAAAATAGTACTTCACATAATAATAGTACTTACCTCAGAAATACTATGATTAAAAAAAGTGATAGCTAAAAGCAAACAGAAATAACACTATTAAATATTCTCCACAAGAGTACCTTGGGACGTCAATGTCACCACATGCCTTAGTATGTGGCCAATACATAATAGGCCAATACATAGTAGGTACTTAATATTCTTTCTTTTTTTTTAAACAGTAATCCACAGTGAGAAGTACATTTTACTGATTTCAGTACATATGTGTACTGAACGCAGGGCTTGAACTCATGACCCTGAGATCATGACCTGAGTTGAAATCAAGAGTCGGACGCTTAACTGACTGAGCCACCCAGGCGCCCCAGGTATTTAATACTCTTGAATCGAAGTTGAACATGGTGTGGCTCACTCTGCAGTTTTGTCAAAGGCATTACCTATTTTCTTTTTTTCTAGCTGTCTTATTCCTGTCATTTTAAAAGTAATATTATTTGAATGTCTCCAGGTCATGCTGGTTTTGTGAATACAAATAAATCCACCTTAATACTGCAGCCTAAGTAAAGTTTAATAATCATCTAAGTTTAACAATCACCTTCCCCCACCCAACGTCCCTCATTTATGACAGGAAATCCTCAGCTGGGTCTTCCAGGTGCTCAGGAGCAATTCCACTAATGCTCTACTCCTCTGGGCTCCCAGTCAAGTTATCTTGACCGTGTATTGGCTGCCAATGCCCTTCTACTGGCAGAGTCCTTCTTTATTGGTGGCGAGGTTGCACGAAAGTTGATGGCAGACTGGGTGAGAGAATGGCCCTCTCCCCTAGCTCTGGGTCACTAGGGTCCAAAATAGTACTTCTTACACCTGAAATCCCACAAAGTCATTTCTGAAAGTAATTCCTCAGTTTCTGGACCTAACTTCTTTCCTCAGTGGATTCAAAAGCATTTGAAGACTCTATGGGAGAGGAAGGAATGCAGGCATCACACTATTCCCATCATTCCTTTTGACAATTTCTCAAAATGTCACTGGCAAAAATGTCCCCTTCCTCCTTCATTCAGAAACATACCCTCCAAGAAGCTCAACTTATACAAACAGATGGCAGGAGATGTCACTGGTAACCGGGTTCTAAATCCTAGTTTGGTCTCAGATAAACCACCCAAGACCTTATCCTTCCTTCTTATATCCCTGTCAGTCAGAGAGAGAATACTAATACAAAAGACATCTTCTTTACTCCAAGTCTGTTCCTTTTTTGTCTCCTTGGAAAGTGAAACAACTGCATGGGGAGAGAAGAATCACACATTTCTGAGGCTGAGGCCATCCCAGCCCTGAGTCACAGCTGCCTGGCCTCACTAGGGATCTAGTACCCCAGCTCCTCAGCAACATGGAGCTCTGGGGAGTTCTCTTTTGCTGGTCCTGAGTTGTGAACATTTACAATAACAGTTAACATAATAACAATGGCACAACATGTGTAACCATTTAATTTTATTCCTTATTTCTCAAAAAGTTTCCTTAACATTCTGTGAGAGTTATTAATGCCTTGTTACTTTAAATTCTGATAAAGTATATGAGGACCCATGACATTAAGTCCATTTAAAAACTCTTGCTCCTTTCTGGGAAGAATAATAGTGCAAAGTGTAATATAGAATAATAGTTTAAGGGTAGTATAAAGCACAATATAGTGTAAATAATGATGTAAAAATGATTAACAAAAGGTAGTAGAGAATTCCTCCTCACCCTCACGTGAGGCTAACCACGCATTTTTTTTTTTTAATTGATGTTTCCCGGTTAATTTTGGGTGAAATACAGCCTCCTCTTTCAGATCCCTACTTCTAACCTCAGGGTGACATCCACCTTAGATATTTAAATGTCCCTTTCTCCACCATGAAACCTAGTTTTCACAAAGGAAGGTAAATAAGCTCACATTCAAGGGCCAATCTTGGCTATGAGAAAGCTTTGTGTATGTTTCCTGGAGCATTCTAGTGGAAAGGCACTAGTCAAAAACTCCAGATTGCAATGCTTGTTCTGCCACTCATTAACTATGAGACGTGAACCCAGCACAACAAACTTTCTGAGCCCAGTCTATTTTAAAAATAGCAAAGATATCACCAATTTTACAGGAGTTTCTAGAATAAATGAAGGAATGAAACTGGAAACACTCTCAGTGCAGTCCATAGTAGGTGCTCAATTTATGTTAAAAAATTATGTTAACTCAAAAAAGGACAAAACCTTAATTCAGAATGAATGGCTTTCAACGGTGGAAGGGCTTTTAACTGAGGTATTTGGAGGTGTTTTTTTTTTTTTCCTTTTGCCCCCTTACATTATATTTTAAAGGTAGTTGTCAACTCTGTTCTTTTTTTTTTCTTTCTATGAGGAAAACTATACACTTGTCTCCATCTTCACCATGGTCTGAAATGAACCTGCTTAAGACTGGTTGTGAAAGGGGCAGGGACCACACAAGTAGCTTTCACAAAAGTTTAGTAAGGGATGTCATGGTGTGAACTTCTCTTTTCAGTTCTATACAAGTTAATTTCATGTAAGGATATGATTTCCTCCCCACTCCCAAGACACTAATCTTTAAAATGGTAGACAATGAACCTGAAATATTTTTGAATTTCTTTAATGCTCTTTTATAGAACTGTTAAAATGTACATTTTCCAACTGCAGTGGTTCGATATTTGTGGAGCAATAACTCTGTGATTCAAAAGTGTCCCTTATTTTCCTGTAGCTACAAAGCACCTATAGGATGGGGGCCCACTTAATTTTATTTTCTAACTTTCAGGCTGGGCTTAGATGCCTTTTTAATTCTTTGCTCCACAAAGATGCTTGGGTAAAAGATCTGAGGAGCCCCTTCAAGGACTCTGATGCTCCTCTCTATTTTGTGGTAAGACGTCTAGAGTAAGATATGCACCAGAAACTGGCGCCATAGGGCCCCACTGTGGAGCAGGAGGAGGTGGCTCGAAGGCAGGGCTCCGGCCAGCGCCCTTTCGCATCTCCCCAGGAGGGGACACCGCCCAGGCGCACCCGTTGCTAGGTCCTCTGTTTGCCGCGTTCTAAAGGAGCCCTGAGCGGAACCAAGGCAAACCCGGAGGGGGGTGCCCGGGAAAGCTTAGGGATTGTGTTCAGTCAACAGCCAGGGAGAGCAGCTGCTCCTCTCTTGGTCCCTTTTGCCCCCAAGCCCTCCCGGCGCTACTGGGAGGCGGAGGATTCCCCTCGTTCTTGGTTCCTCCCAACCGTCGCCGGCCCTCGGCGCCCTCCACGACCGCCCCGCTCCGCACGTCGCGCACCCCCGGTCGCAGCCCGCGAATGGTCTGGCCCGTCGGTAGCCGCCACCCCCTTCGGCAGCGACAGCTGCTCCAGCTGCTCCGGGTGGAGCGCCCGAGCCCCGAGCTGTGGCTGCTTAGGGCGGCGGGCTGGCGGAGGGGAGCACCGGACCACCAGCGCAGGCTGCCGGGCCCGGGGGCAACCGCCCGCGGGAAACCGGGAAGCGGAGGGGCCGCAGAGGGACCGCCTGCAGCCGGGAGGAGAAGACCAGGGCTGGGCTTTCCTCACCCCGGTGAGTACCTGCTGCCCGGATCCTTCCCGACCCCCTTTCACCGCCCCCACACCCCCGAGGTATCGGCCCCCACCAGGGACGGTCATTGCTCTAGGGACACTGGCTCCCGCGGGAGCAGCGGAACCGGGAGCTGCTACTGTTAGGACTAATGATTCAGCACCATTCGTGCCCCGAGAGAGATTTGGGCGGAATGGGGGAGGGGGGTGGTGGTGGTGGGGGGGGGACGAGGTCAGTTGCTGTGCTCTCACCTCAGTTTCTAGGCTTCAGAGGTACCACCCAGGCGGGCGGTGTCGGGTGGGGTGAACAAGGAGGCTCCCTGCTGGCTTGTTCCGTAATTCCGTCCTTTTCCCAGAGCATGGTACAAACCTCTGTGAGTGTGCGGTGCAATCTTTAAAGTGTGTCAGATTAGTGTCTTTTTCCCACAGGCGAGTGAAGTATGGGGCCCTTGTCTATACCTGTCAGTTTCTTTACTTCTTGCTCCGTTGGATACTTAATTCAAGCCATCGTCCACTCAGTTTTTCATTGCATAGCATTCCGCCACTAATGTGTGAAATAGAGGCTGTGTCCAAGTAGTCTTGTGTTCAGAGTGGGTTTGCTTGGTCTTGGCATAGGAGGAAAAGATTTAAGGGAGGTAGGAAATAATACTTTCAGAGTCTAGACACTTACTTTTAGGTATATTATTTCATTAAATCATCACGGCAACCCAGAACCAAAGGTGGAAAGTGAGGAGCCTGGAAGTTAAATTACATGCTCAAGGTCACCGAACAGGAATTTGAATACAAGTCTCCCTGACTCCAAAGCCCATGGATCTTCCACTGTATTACAGAGTTGTATGTCCAAGTGTAAGGGTACATATAGATGGCCCATTAGATATTAAACATAAAATTAATTTTCATAAGTGATCTCAAACAATAGCAACAACCTGTAAACTTACTGTATATGGAATTGTTGTTCTTTTAGTAAGAAAGGGCTTTGAATTATGTGGGAAAAAAAACCCATTTTCTTAGAAAGTGTTTGCCAAAAAATAATATCTGGACAACACTGCAAAGGAGAGCTAGGTCATTGCAGGAGATGTTTAACACATTTTTGGCAGTGATATATGGTGGATGCTCAAATGTTGGAAAAATCAATTAGGAAAGTAAAACAAAACGAAACACCTGGAAACTTTTTTTTTTTTTTAAAACTTACTGGAAACATTTGCAATAAGAACAGTTACCTAGTTCATGGGGTGTGTGACTGAACTGTTTTTGTGGGGTGTGTCGTCCCATGATAGGGTGACAGATAAACCCAGACTGATAATGTTATTTGATTCATTTCCACTGTGATGTGGCATAGTAGGTGATAACTCCATTTTACAGACTAAGGAACTGAAATAGAAGGTTCAAGATCATATGGCTAGTAAGTGGTGGCATCTAGACAAGTATTGACTTACAAAAAATATGTGTGTTGTAGCAAAATGTAGTTCTGTACAGTGGGAAACTGCATTGATTTGTTTTTGCTCTGCCCTTCAGAGTTAACAACTATATTGACCTGTGTACTCTTTCTGAAAAAATAACGGATGCTAGGTTTTTCTTTATCTGTTGCTTGGCCATTTGATTTGCCTTCCTTTATGATTTATGTATTCTCCCTTAAGATGTGAAACTCTTGTTGATATCTCCAGAGGCAGGTAGCTATAGTACAATGCTCATTATCTCTAAGTACTGGAATAGTACTTGATGGCGGATAGGAACATAATCATCTTAGTCTGTCATTTCTAAAGTATTGAACTATTTACATTGGAGAATTATTAATGAGGATATTGAGAGACTAAAGCCCATTGCCTAAATAAAGCCATAAAATGGAGGCACAAATTTATATATGTTGTTCACACAAGACTGTGAGAGAAGTAGGATCACGTGATGACCCTTAAATTTGATTTCTAGGAGGTCATTTCTTTTTGTTCTCTATATGGCTGTCGTCTCTATCCTGAACCTCTGTGAGGCATCTTGCAGTCCAGTCTGTTTAACTACAAGGAGGATGGCAGAATTGGTATGAAAAAATAAGCAAAACTACGATCCCACTGCTATTTAAAAAAAAAAAAAAAGAAGGTGCATGTCCTAGTGATGGTCAGCGGGAACATTTTAAAACAGAGGCAACACATTTTATTTAGATAACATCACCAAGTGTGAATATAATACCAACCTGGTTTGAGCACTGCATCTTTTCTCACTCTTGTCTCTTTCTGTATATATATATGTATTTGTTGAATGACTACTGTCTGCAGACCATTCAAATTCTTGACTTCAAGGAACTTAAAGTCTAGCTGGGGAGGTATTTACTTACACATGAGTAATTAACAAAATAATTAGAATTGGCCTAATATCAGGAAAAGGTGGTGCTATAAATGCTGTATCAACACCTTAAGAAGGAGTAATCACAGAGGCTGGTTTCATAACAGAATCAGTAACTCTTCACGGATGGAAGTGAATTCAGTCACTCTGCCAGATGGGAAGGATTTGGATAGGAAAAGACAAAGCCAGACAAGGAGGTTCAGCTAAGTGCTCATATACTGTTTGAATACACAGTGACAAATTGTGAAGAACCTTGCATATCAGGCAGTGAAATCTGCTCCTCATCTGGTAGTCACAGGGAACTAGCAGTGTAGGTTACTAAGCAGGCCAAGTTTCTCTTTTTTTTTTTTAAAGATTTTATTTATTTATTTGAGAGAGAGAGAATGAGAGACAGAGAGCATGAGAGGGAGGAGGGTCAGAGGGAGAAGCAGACTCCCTGCCGAGCAGGGAGCCCGATGCGGGACTCGATCCCGGGACTCCAGGATCATGACCTGAGCTGAAGGCAGTCGCTCAACCAGCTGAGCCACCCAGGCGCACGGCCAAGTTTCTCTTTGGCTGGTCTTGCTCATATTCTCCATATACCTTGTTCCAAGTGCCCTTCCAGAAAATGCTATAGTTCCTGGGTACTGATATTAAAAGGATTGTCAACTGAACCCAGGAGTTTTCTACACAAGTAACATTTTTCTACACAAGTAACAAAGAAGCTTGCCTTTTTGAAAGCTTCCCCTTTCTGTTATAAAATTATGAAGTTTGGAAACTATAAGAATATAAAAAGGAAAAAAAAATCACCATACTTGTACTAACTAAAGACAAGCACTATTAATATTTTGATGTGATTTTCATATTTCCTTCCACTCTTTTTTCTGTGCATGGTTTTAATCATGATATATATATTACTTTTTAAAATATTTTTACTTTAAATTTTATAACATTAATTTTCCCTTAATTACAACTGGAAAGTGAACTTTAAAAATATCTACATAATTTTCCATTAGGTAGATGTATGATAATTTCTTAACCATTCCTCAGTGTTGGTATATTTTTGATGATAATAACTAACACTGTGATGAACATCTTTGTTCATAAATGAAATTTCTGGGTTAAAAAGTATGAAATCTTAGTTCAATTTTTTAAAATTGAGATATAATTAATATATCTCAATATATATCAATATAACATTATATTAGTTTCAGGTGTAACATAGTGATTTGATATTTATATATATTGCAAATGATCACCGCACTAAGTCTAGTTAATATCCATCACTACACAGTTACAATTATTTTTTCTTATGATGTGTAGTTTGACTACTTCATGCAACTTTTAAAACTCTGCTGGATTCTGCATGTTCTCTGGACATTACAAATTATAAGATATTGGCGTATTATTAATTATTTACACTCACTCCTGTTTGTGGTTCCTCAGATTACACTTTTTCAGGCAATCTGCTCTTTTGGTTAGAGAAACTATTTGAATCATGGCTACTGGGCAAAATAGATGAAGGGGATTAAGAGGTACAAACTTCCAGTTATAAAATAAATAAGTCATGGGGTTGAAAAGTACAACATAGGGAATATAGTCAATAATATTATAATGACTTTGTATGGTGACAGATGGTAACTACACTTATTTGGTGTAGTGGTGAGCATTGCATAATGTATAGCGTTGTCGAATCACTACGTTTTACACCTGAAACTAATGTAGTATTATATGTCAACTATACTTCAATTAAAAAAAAAAAAAATCATGGGCAGTGCGAGAAAGGCGGGCAGTTGGGGCCTGAGGAGAGAAGATGTAAATGAAGCTGGAGGGCGTGTTTGGTGAGAGTCGGCAAGAGTTTATAGTCAGAGAAGGGAATATATGATGGACTACATTCTGGTTTTAGCATTGTATTTGTGGACCTCAGTTTCCTCCCCTCCATCCTCCCTTCAGGTATCTACCCCGCCCTTATCTTTCAAACTTCAACTTCTTCCGCCCTCCTGTATCAGATTCCTAGGTCTCCAGCTTCAGTGTCCTGGCAATGCAAAGCATATGAACTTGCACTCTGATTTAGAGAATCCGCATAGGTGAGGGTGGGAATTTCAGACCTCCTTCCAGTTCTCAGGAGAAGCCCTGGTTACAAGGTACAAGGGAGTGTGGTGGACATCGACGACTTCTGCCCTCCCTCCCTTGTGTATTGCTAGAGACAGCCTCTGAGAACAGTGGCAGTTGAGAGACACAGAGCATTCCCAGCGTTTCCCGTGGGCATTCAGATGTTTCCTTCCCCTTGTTTCCAGTAACCCTCCACCTTCCCCTTGTTTCCAGTAACCCTCCACCTTCCCCTTGTTTCCAGTAACCCTCCACCTTCCCCTTGTTTTCAGTAATCCTCCACTAAAGGAAATTCCCCTGAAGGAGGAGAGAGACTATGCCTCCTTTACCCCAGCAGTTGTAGGGACGAGTGCCACTACCTCCTTTGCTTTGGCTGGGCCTCTTACCCCCCAGTCTCTCACCTGTGCTTCCTCTGGATCCCACCCCCATCCTACTTGGAATATCAGAAGCCACTGAGGGGGGCGCCTGGGTGGCTCAGTCGGTTGGGCGGCTGCCTTTGGCTCAGGTCATGATCCCAGGGTCCTGGGATTGAGCCCCGCATCGTGCTCCCTGCTCGGCGGAGAGCCTGCTTCTCCCTTTCCC